TTTTGCTCACATCTTCTCCAATTTACTCACCATCATGTCTGATCCCCTCTCCAACTTCCCCGATCCACAGTAGGAAGGGGGCTTTGGGCATGCATTTTTCAGCCCAACGGCTATTTTTTTAAAATATTATTATTAATTAAATGTATGGGTACCGATCCAAGACCGGTACTATTTGGACCAAAACCGGAACCGGCACTGGATCAAAACAGGTCAGTACCGAGCTTCAATTATTTAGAACCGGAACCGGCCAGGCCGGGGACGAACCAATCCGGCTCCATGCCTAATTGTGCTTACCTAACGTATTGGAAATGCACACTAGAATTTTATCAAAGCACAACCGAATTCAAATTTCAAAATGATGAAAAATTTGTGTCGACGGTATGAAAGTATGAAACTACGAATATGAAACAAGCAATATCTAGTGCGGCAGCGGAAGTACGTAGACACGTAGTTCATATTCATAGCCTCATCAAAAATGCTATTGTTACACACTTTCCATACACACACATACACACTATAAATACTCCCCCAAAAAATTACCCATTTTCCCTCACCTCCCTCTCACTTGCGGTAGTTCAAAAAAAACCCAATCCCAAATTCGCACATCCCCCTTCTCCCTTCCTTTGAATCGTCGCTGGCCATCGAAGAAAACCCCCACTCCCAATTTTTTCACGCACCCCCTTTCCCTCCCCGTCGTCGGAAGCTTCTTCTCCGTCAAAGGTTGTTGACGAAAACCGCCACACCCTTCCCTTTGAACAAGGCTATTGAATGCAACCCTCCTCTCGGTGTGAAGCCAACTTTCTTCCATGGCCGAAAGGTATGTATCCTCTATCTTTGGATTTTTAACAATTTAAGGCTATTTGATGATGTTTATTTGGAGGGCTCATAAGATATTTTTTGTTTATATAGTTTTGGAACCCATCTATTCTTTAGATTTTGAACAATATACATTTGTTTGGGGATATGTCATTACTTTCTATGTATTGTCTGTGTAAGGTTTATTTTGTGCCTGTGGAAGGACATATGTATTGTCTGTGTGAAGATACATTTGTCTAATCGCCCGTTTTCTGCATCGTTTTTCCACCAACGTGTGGGGCCCGCACCCAGCTCCGCTCTGCTCTGTTTTCTTCAAATTGATAGATACATCCTTTTGTTTTGGACAGTACTTCTACTTGCATTCTTGCGGTTCATGGGTGATGACAATGAGGCAAAAAACTACACCTATAGTCTGGAGGTGGGAGGGAACGGGAGAAAGATTATCTGCCAAGGCATGCCAAGAAGCATACGGGACAGTCACCATAAGGTTCGTGATAGTTTTGATGGTCTCATCATTCAACACAACATGGCATTCTTCTTCTTTGGTGGGGATAGGAAAGAACTGAAGCTAAGAGTCACTGGCAGGATATGGAAAGAGCAGTGATTGTTTGTTGCTCCCTAGAATCGGTCACAAGACGGACACCCATCTTTCAGTCCCATGAAAAGGATTTGTTCATTCACTGCTTAATGTCTTTCTGGTCTTGTGCTTTTTTGATCTACCGAAGCAAACACTCTTTGCTTTAGGACATGTTGATGATTGGGCTCTTTTATCCATATGAAATGGACTTGATTCCTCAGATGTTTCTTACTCTTAACTATTTTTAGATTTTCAGTTTTCATTCTAAAAAAAGATATATTTGTCTAGTTATTTGTCTGTGTGAACTTATATGTAATTGGTTGTGGCTCCATTTGTCTGTGAAGACTTATATGATTGTCTGAATGAGTCTACATATGTCTGTGTGAGTAATATGATTGTCTGTGTGACTCTACTAATATAGGTCCAAATGAAAAAATGTGTGGGTGGGACTTTGGAAAAGTAATGAATTTTTCTGCATATGTTTGTGTGACTGATTCTTTGTATGTATCTAACTGAATGCTTGTCTGTGATACTTAACATAAGTCTATGTGCTTATGGTTTATTTTATTACAATCATAGGGCACTTGAACTTCAGATTCCTTTGAGCAAGCATTTCCCTGCGCAGTATTCTATGTGTTCGGATGTGAAACATGCTTCGAAGTACATTCATACCATGTTGTCTAAGAAGTAAATGGGTCTATTCCGGAAGACAACATGGGGTCACCTTGTAGATATACATGACATTCAGTTTTGTGCCCAAATTGTGAAGGAACGGTCTGAAGATGAGCTATGGTTCAATGTGGAGGAAGCGATCTAGTTAGACTACTTTGGGTCTGCATGTTTAGTGTTGGATTGGTTTGGTTGTAAAACATTGATGTAACCTTACTATATACATTGGTTGTAACCTTACATTGGATTGGATCCAGTTAGTGTTGCATATATTCCTGAATTAGTATGCCTTTTTGTTTTTGTGGCAAACACTTACTCTTTATGGTGTTAATATATAAGGAGGATGTCTTTGCCTGTGAAGAAGAAAAACATTATTTGTGCTATGTATCTGCTAGGACTTAGTTTGAATAAAAGACTTTTTGAGAAAAAACATTTTAAAAAATTGTTAAAGTACATTATAATATATGTCACAAACACATTGCGTGTCTCTGAAGAAGAAAAACTCTATCTGTGAGGTGTGGTGTATTTGTCTGTGCTATGTACACTATAATATATGTCATAAACACGTTGTATGTCTGTGAAGAACAAACACTATGTCTGTGATGTCTGGTGTATTTATCTGTGCTATGTATTTGTTAGGACTTAGTTTGAATAAAAGACTTTTTGAGAAAAAACATTTTAAAAAATTGTTAAAGTACACTATAATATTTGTCACAAACACATTGTGTGTCTGTGAAGAAGAAAAACTCTGTCTGTGAGGTGTGGCGTATTTGTCTGTGCTATGTACACTATAATATCTGTCACAAACACATTGTGTGTCTGTGAAGAACAAACACTCTGTCTGTGATGTGTGACGTATATGTTTGTGCTATGTAATTGCTTTTGTATAGTTTGAATAAAAGACTTTTTTAGGAAAAAACATTTTAAAAATTGTCATGAACATTTACATCAAATTAAGATTTAAATCTAAACCACTAAAAAAAATCTAAACCACTACAATTCATTATGTCATTATGTCCCCCCTGTCCATTGCCATGCTGAGAGGTCGGTTGTGGGGTACTTGCATTGTCGGTCCTATCACTTGATTTCTTCTTCCCCTTCTCCAATGGTCCTTTTTGGCGGTTTTTGTGTTAGGTTGTCATTTTTGTGTTTGGTGGCACTCCGAGTTCTTACGGGAAACCGTAAACGATTCCCATATGTGTTGTAAATATCATACACCGCTTCTTTGCTATCAAATTGCATACCAACATCCGGAGCTTTTATTGAACCATCGTCACTCTCATTTTGCTGAATTTCTCCATCTGACCAACACGGGCAATGGTATATTTAAGCACAGACAGAAGTATATATACACACAGACGCAAGTATATTTACACACAGACATTTCAAATATAAGTTTATTTACACACAGACATAAGTAAATTTAAAACATTTTGAACACAGACAAGATTATATACATTTCACAAACACACAGACGATATTATACACTACACAAATACAAATAATTGTCTGTGAAGAACAAACATATATTTAAGTTCAAAGCCAATGAAATCAACAACACTAACTCATACCAAGCTCAGGGACGTCGTCCATGTCCGCCATCACCGGTTCTACGCCAAGTTCAGCCGTCGCCAGTTCTCCATCAAGTTCAGCCGCCGCCGGTTCTCCATCAAGTTCAGCCGCCGCCGCCGCCGGTTCTCCCTCAAGTTCAGCCGCCGGTTCTCCATCAAGTTCAGCCGCCGCCGCCGGTTCTCCCTCAACTTCAGCCGCCACCGGAATATCTCCTTCAGCTCGAGAACCACCGGTTGTTTCAGCCCATTCAGCCCAAAAATCATCCACAGTAGTATCAATGATAGTTTCATTCACAAAGCCACCAAAATCTTTTTTTTTTTGAAGCCTCAGACCCTTGTATGTGTTGACCTCTGCTACGGGAAGAAGAAATAAGGACGATGCGGGAGGGGGCTGCGAGAAGAGAGGGTGGGGTTGTATTCGCACGTGAGGGAGGGGGTAAAAAATGGTAATTTTTGGGCTATTTATAATGTGTATGTGTGTGTATGAAATGTGTGTACCCAAAACCCAATTGTAGCCTCATAGCCTCATTGGAGAACGTAAAAGGTGCGCCCCTTTATGACTTTATCTCTATCTCAACAAGAAATCTGGTAATTGAGATTACCGGTACTAGTGCCAAGAGATTACTTGCAAGTTGCAACACCGCCGGGTCAACCTAGGACCGATCCGGGACTGTGCAGGCCCGATCCAATCGGGCAGTACCGAGACTGGGGGGCGAACCGGCTGTTTATGAGGCAGGCTCAGGGCCCTGATTATAGTGGACCGGGCCGGGCGGGCTGGGTCTAGTCCGGGCCAATTTTTTTATAATATTTTTTACATTGGGCTGCTGCTAGATGGATTGATCTGGGTGTTTTGGTAGGGTTTGGGCCGACTTTGGGGGTGGGGTTTGGAGGTGGGAATAAATTCGAAAAGACTAATTTAAAAAAAATGACACAACCTGACCCGGGCTCAGCCCGATTCAAACTAGGGCTGGTACCGGGCCTTCATCCCAAAACCCCAATCCCGCCCAATCCCAACCCGAGCCCGAACCAACCCGGGCTCGGTCCATGCCTATGAGCCTATCCCCAATCAAATAAGTATTATTTCACCTCCATATTTTTATACTCCCTCCGGTCCTAAATAAATTTCACACTTTCCTTTTTGGATAGGTCCAAAATAAACTTCACACTTTTTCTCCCTTCTTTATTTGGCAAATTATCTACATCAAAACAGTGCAAAATAGTGTCACAACAGTGTACGCTACAGTAAAGTCAAATTTATTTCCTTAATTTGTGTGAAGTCAAAGTGTGAAGTTTATTTAGAAACGGAGGGAGTATTTTAATTTAATGGGTCCCATTGGGAATGAGGCGTTAGAAGACATTCAATCGACGACCGGACTAAAGATGAGCGTCAAGGTTCTTTATCATAACATATACAGAGTATCTTCTAAGTTCTAAATACAAAGTTACAATGATACTCTCTCCCTTTTAGTTTTTTGATCAAAAGTCAAAACAACCAAACACTCATTACATAATACTCTCACAGATAGCAAAATTTACAATGATACAATCCACATTGTCATTTTTAATGATCTACAAACACTTAAATATTTCAAAATATGGTCATACTACTGTTGTTTTGAAGAATGTAAGTTCCACTTAACCTTTTCATAATAATAGAACCAAATGAATCCTCAAACATCTAACGGGGTAGCAGAGTCAAGCCTCACACGGTTTAGCCTAACAGTTCCGAGGATATACTCTGGCAGTTCTGCCTCTTCTTTTGCCTGCATTTTAAATATGGGTTATGGTATTAACATAATCTGCTTTATGAAGAACTATCAGCCAATAAATCCAATAATGAGCCCAAAGATCATATAACAGTTCCAGGTGTCTGCTTCTTATTGACATTTTTTACTCACAGACTTGCTCAGAATCATCTGCTAAGCACAGCTAAGTGCGTCAGAAATTTCCCAGATTCCTCCCTCTACACCATCCTGATTACCCTTCTGATTAAAAAGAGTATAATGCCTGGTAATTCTCTTGGATCAGTTGTCTAAGCTTTCTATACTTCTGAAATAGGTTTTAACTCCAAAATTCATAGGATATCAGGTGATCCGTAGATATTACAAAATTCAAATGGGATTTCAAATGGGACAAATTGCATGTGACCTGATAACCATTCTCATTGGCCAACACATAGAGAATGGTATCCAATGGGATAAAAAGGGCACTAATAAACAGCAGATAAGATAAATTTAGAGCCTTGCACAGTTTGGTAAAGTAAAAAACATGTTCACATGGAAACAGAAACGAATATTTTTCCACCAAAAGAAAACTTTATACCTCTATTAGAATAGCAAGATCAACAACAAGACTAGTAACATATCCTAGTACTAGACCAATGATGCTCCTTGCGACAGAGGATGAGCCAATGTCCACGTCAATCTGCACATATTTCTTGTTAAAGTAATAGTAAAAACATATTGAAGTAAAAGTTAACATTTCAAAAGATTACTACAGCTCCAAAGAAAACATTTGCTAAATGAGGTGAGATATAACCAAGAACACTTCCATAGGTGAACTTGGCTTCTCTGCATCTCCCCAAAGAGAGACATGGTGCCCACTGCCCATCTCTCTGGAGTCTGGACCATTTCTAAGATCGAACGACCATGACTTTCCAACCCTACACTTGGACCCCATATTTTCTTCCAACCCCACACTTTAACCTCACCAACAATAGAGGATTATTCGATCTGAGATTGATCCGACAGAAGAAATGACAAACGCGCTCCTGGTTTTTGAAGACACCAAGACCAGTAATAGAAGCTAAATCCTTCAGAGCCACTTCTTTTGGTAGCTTTGGCAGCACAACCAAACATATGTTGGCGATTTGATCAAGAATACATAGCAGAGCCATGAACAGTATGAACTATGAAAAGACCAGCTGGTTGTTTAAAATGTGAAACTTAAAACTCCTCAAGCTCAAACTCATGCTTAATAATTATCATAATAAGAAACTAATTTCAAAGTGGCTTTGATCCAAGCTAAAGCCAATTCATATTTCATATAATGCATTCATTCTATAAGTCATAGCTACAGGAGCTGTATTCCTATGTGATACCCTTGAATATGGGGCACAAAAAAAAACTTTCTAACAATTCAATACACAATCTTGGTTCACTTAAAACTCTAAATCTCTAATCATATGCTGGACTTTTTGCAGACGCAAAAGCTCCATAACAACCTGAGGTCTGACCCTCACAAAGATCCAAAATGGAAACATAAATGCAAGAAGAAGAAACTTTTCACAGAAATCTACAATCAGGGTTCACTTTGAACTCCACGATGAAAATGCCAGCTATGAGGGTGGAAAGCTACGGCTTGGCAAGTGGCATCAGATTGTTATAAAAAGTATTAAAAAAAGTAGTTTGGTTTTGGTTCTCTTGCTGTTTTGCATAATTGCATGGTTAACATTTAACAGAATATTATTAAGATATTGCCATGGAATTCAACCTCTAGAAAGTTGTCCTGGCGGAGGTACTTGCATGTTACAGCTTTACCCAAAAGACAAGCTTTAGATCCAACTGCACGTTTGACCATCCAATATCCCTGGTTTGTTTGACAAGCACTTAGATCATAATTTCAGGAAAGGAAATTTTACAACAAGCTGACGAGCAAGTATTATACCTCAATAATGCTTGGAATCAATTTGAATCTTGAATCGCGGTACATATCAGTACCATAAACGAATTTACCCAACAACGAATCCTTATTGACAGGCCGATCAGCAGCATAATAAAGAACCATGCTATAATTTGGTTTAGCTGGAACCTGAGAGTGAACCGCAAACCCAATAGGGCATGTTCCACATGCAAATAAATTTAGTAGGGATTACCATTGTGAAACAAATAAAGCTTTGATGATCTAAATCCAGGTACTATGATCTAATCATCTAACATGTTCTAATAAACAAACCATATTAAGTGAAAAAAGTAATGCAAAAAGTCTAGACATACCATGAGGTTAATGATAAGGATAAAGGGAAGTTTTTTTCCAGCTTCAGACTGCAAATCAACGAACATTAGATGCAAAACAAATATTTCTGAAAAAAAGTGGGTGTCAAAGGCCATTTTTTTACACAATAAAGTAATTATTGTATTATTAATTTATTATCCAAACATATTTCACTTATATGCAAGTTTATAGGAAATGCAAGAAATTTATAGCTAAATGTTGAAATGTGTGTATACATACATGCACACATGCGCGCACATACTGGACTTACTAAATGTTAGTAAGTCCAGTATATTAGTATGAGGTTACCTCACCTCATGAGGATCATTTTTTGATAGTTAGATAACATATAAAAATACATTATACAAACACTCACATATGCAAAAATGTTCCAAAATCTTCCATCAGGCAACTTATAAAACGCTTCACCCCTATAAATTTGCAAAAATACCATTGAGGAGGTGAATATGGTAATGGGGATGCATGAAGGACCACGCTTGGGGAATGCTATGTTGGAATGGGTAGCTAAAGGGATATTCTGGCATTTTGAATGAGGTAGTGTGTATTAGTGAATCACCCAACTGATAGTTTTGGAATAGGTCTCTCTATGTGTGTGACTGTGTGCTTGCGCATATGTAGATGTGCATGAGCGCGAGTATGCAAGGGCGTAGCTAGGGGGCAACCTAGGACCTGACCCACCACAAATTTAAATTTTGTTTAACTTATCAGGGTAAAAAATTCATGTAAAAAATAGCCTCAGTCGTAGCTTTACAAAAACTAAACCGAGGTAAGAAAGCACATGGGTTGCCCATTACCTGAACAAGACACTTAGGATGCAGAGCAACTTTTGTGATACAATTCTCCATCTTGTACCAATCAACTGCAATTAACTTTAGCAAAGGATCTCCACCCTTGACCTGGAAATTTGTTATACTATCATCAAATGATAACAGGACAGCAACTTAGTTTCTTTCAATGAATACTATATTGTCAATGCAGATAAAATGCAGAACTAGACAACTTGAACATTTACATTCACTTAGAAAACTCAAATTTGGACTTGATCAATGTATCACTATGTAAAACTAACCACTCAACTGGGATATCTTTGCTCATGAAAAACCAATTTTGTACTTTTTGTAAACAAAAGTATGTAATTTCCATCATTCGCAATGGAGCCAAAGACTCACTATTTTTTGGCTCGGGAATATGATGGAATAAAGCAAAATGGCTTACCAAACTGTCTGCACTTCTCTGATATGAAACAACAATCAGTCCATGCAATTTTCGACGCGATTTTTACTATGGGTCATCCGGAAACAGTCTCTTTGTGCGTTAGTACATGGGTAAGACTGCGTACATCCGACCCCCCCCCCCCCTTACCCCACCGTATGTGAGAGCCTTTGCGGCATTGGGGTAATGATGATGATGATGTAAACAAAAGTATGTATTGGTGCATCACCACAAAACAATGCGGCTAAAAACTATTAAGACATACTTTGATAGAGAGCAGAGAGAGCAGGGGGCAGGAACGGGCTTGGTCCCACCTCCGTGGGCTGGGATTATAGTTTTACTTATTACTGTATAGTTTATGTTATGTTTTCTAGTTTGGGCCTATTATTAGTAGAGTATTTAGTAGAGTTAATTTGGGCCTAATTAGGGTTTACTTAGTTTGGGCTCGATTAGGGTTTGTGTTGAGTCTGTTACTAGAAAGGTATATATACCCCTTGTTAGGATTCTTTCTTGATCATCTATGAATAAAATTGAAGTTTAGCCTTTTGGCTCTGGGCAACAGTTTCTATCATTGATTATTCTGGGCAACGGTTTATTCCGTTGATTTTTATTTTCTGTTTTCATCATACTACCTCCGTCCCAAAAAAGAGCTATCTTCAAGATATACTTTGTGTCCCAAAGAGAGTTATGTTTAATTAAAAGGAGCTAATTTTTAGTAGATAGAGAGTCATTATAATAGATATAGTTTAGACCAACAAATGAACTTTAAGTATTGTAGGATGAAAGATTTTTGGCAGAATTTCCTTACTGAAAAGGTAAACCTGGGTCAAGCATGTCATGTTTTGGGACAAAGGTAGTACCAGTAAAGCCCATATCATGACACAAGCACTCTTGCATAACCAAGCATATTACCTTGGTGTAATCTTTTAAGTATGTCTTCCCTCTGATCATGAACCCTGAACCCCCTGGAGAGGTCCAACAGTTTGTGACATTCTCATCTTTCCCTTGCTGCATGGTACCATTGAAATTACTTGTATTGAACACAACAGGAGGCACATTCGGATTTAACTCCTTGCCAACATTTGGCGCTGCAGCAAGTGATTAAATACATGCTTAGGAAAGAAGATAAATCAATGAAAATAGAGAAATATTTTCAGCTTCAAGGCAATATTATGAATGCTACAAAGCACACACTCTATTGTAAATGTTGTCAGAATCCACATGTTAATACTGAACAACTAACTGAACCAACAAGAACAACATACTTGGTCATCAATATGATTTATTTTCAGTTTATCATAATAATATTCTAGTCTGTTGCGAGACCAGTAAGTGCTTTTCTTTCTTATTAACTACAGGCCAATACATTACTAAATCTCTGTCCTTCGTTCTTACATGCCACTGTAAATTAATATATCATATTAGTAATTCTAACTGCTGTATTGATAAATTATATCATGAAACTTACAGTGTAGCCTTTGTTTGGATGGGCCAAGCTCAGTACATCTCTCCCTCTCTCATACATACATAAATAAATGTGTGTGGATAACTGGATATGTATCTATGCTTGTGTGTATATATGTGTGTATGCATACATATGCATATGGATAGACATTAATATACATATTTACACACATATATCAATATCTGTATGTGTGCGTATATGTATGTGTGGGGGGTGGAAGGATCATATACGAACTTCCCTTGTGATAAGCACTCTCCTTACATGAGCACTCCAATCTCATCCACCCAAATGCCAATCAATGGTCTTCATTCTTCAAAAGAAGTTATGGAGTAAAGATCATTGATGGAAATTTAGATTGATGAGATTCAAAGTGTTCATGTAAGAAAGAGTGCTAATCACAAGGAAAGTTTCCGTATGAACCTTTCCCTGTGTGTGTATATGTATGTAGTTCATATAGTTATACACACATGTATATGTATGCATTTATGTTTATCATGTATTATTATGTTTATCATGTATTATGTTATGAAGCATATGGAACTTCCTTCCTCCCTTGTATAGTTGTATGCAACAGTAACCCTAGCAGCACGGATCTTTGTGCTTATGTAGGCTAAAAATGGCATCGCGTAGTTGTTTTATACACTATAAAAGAATACGCATTTTATAACATATTAACATGGTATTAGAACGGAAATAACGTTGCATTCAAGTGTTGTTGCCTAGGAGAAAAGAAATGAAAAGAAATTAAGAATGCAGCGTGCTAGTGTAGCAGACTCGCAAGTGACCATATCATAGAGAGTAGTTGACATTGGGCTTTTGGAGTCATTAGGGATGATGAATGCAGGAGCATAAAAAACTCTCAATGTGGTACCTGGTGGTCGTTGACATCACCAAGGCAGTAAAACGATGAAGGTTCGGGGTTTGATACATGTGGCAACTTTGTAGTGTTATGGTGCCTTTGATAGAAAGGCTCATCTCTGTTCATATTAGGAAGAGAGCTTGTGCCTCTACTTAGTCATTTTAAAAGTACAGAGTCAACTCGCACATCTCTACTACAGGAGAGTGTTATGTATAACCTTAACAGGCAATTATTAACAAAACTTCATGCCTTCATTATATATCTTTCACTCATAAATAGGACACTATACAAGTATTGAGGAGATCAAGTCAATATTATCACCGCTCACCATTGTTTCATTAAGAGATGCTTGAATTTTACTTTCCACTTTATTTGCTACTAATCTCTTTGTATTCTTTATGACCATTGATTGTTTATTAGTGCTTCCCAACAATATTATATTCCACAGATAAAGCCCAACACAATTTGGTGCTTAGACTTGGTTCAGGAGGGCCACTAGTTTAGAGGGATGATAATATATTTAGAATAACAACCATGAAATTTTGAAATAGTAGTGGCTGGTGCAGCTGCAAAAAAAGTGTAGGTGGGAAAATTGGAGTAGCAATTGAAAAACACGTAGAATTGTTCGCTGCTCTTTTGAATTTAAGGTGCCTTCCCACCTCCCAAAAATGTGGGAACAGTACTCAACATCATAAAATCCAAACACTTGTGAGCAAGCACATAATTGCAATGATCTTATACAAACCGCAGGAATTCAATAACATGCTGATTCAGTAATTGCTCGTATGAACTAACCACCATAAAGTGTGAAGCTGCAGAAGCCGGGAGAAGATACCTGAATCTCGCCTCAAGGCAAAGCTTGCTATTGCCCATGAAACATTCTTCAGCTTAACTTTTTTGTCCTGAGCAGAGAGGGAATTTAGATCTGCATCACTTTATGAATAATATGTGGTTCCATTATTATTAGTAGAACAAAAAGGATGGATAACCTTGTTAATAGGCTCTACTTCATTGTCACTGTCATCATCCGATGATGAAGATTCAGCAGTAATTGCATCATAGAACTGATCTGCCCCTTCATCACCATCAAATTCTCCATTGGTTGTAGAAACGTCAGACGTTTGTGAATGAACTATCATAGTGGATGATTCAAATGTAAGTGCTGGAGTTGCTCTGATATATTCCTTAAGGCCTACACAAATCGTTGATCAGAATACTTCATGAAAACTGTGAGAAAAGTGTCTGCTTCTTTCAAAAATCTATTAGTTCCAAATACATCATATAAAGTTTGCAGAGCAGGTTAAGTCCAGGTTATAGTAACAAAAAAAGCATGATCCCAAGGTGGTGGTAATATTGCTGGGCAGTGATGATTTCTTTTGTTATGGTTTCAACTTAAAATTTGAGACTGAAAGGAGAAATATTTACAGAAAAGCGAATATTTTCTGGGTATTTTCTTTAAATTGCCTCTACAAATGTGAGATGGATATCTTTGTTCATTAATTGCACAATCTTACACTGAAAAGTTGGAGAGAGAATAAATGAAAACAATAAAGAAAGATGTTGCAAAAGAAATCAACAGTAAGCAAATTATCAACTAGGTAAAACTTCAGTATATAAGATTCAACATTGTTAGATTCCATTGAAATGTAACTGGAATATTAAATTTTTGATTACTAGTAATAAAAAGCATGTCATCAACTATTAGAGTTTCACTCTTCTACCAAAAAACAAGATTCACTATAGCAACCAGAGATGCAAAGTTGTTTCAAGATACATAATACGAATAAAAAGATAATAGAAGTAAAACAACAATAATTTCCTACATGCTGTTTGGGTAGATGAAAATGAGAGTGCTTATATCATTAGGTAACTTTTAATTACTTATTCGGTTTGATTTTGCATTATATGGGGTCCATTTTCTTCTGAGGACAAAAACGTGCCTTCCATTTGGCATCAAGTAGGAACATGTAGTCATGTACTAACAAGATGCAAGGAATTAAAAACTAAGCACCTGATACTTGACTCAACAATCCGAAAGGAATAGTTTTCTCAAATTCTAAGAAGTTATTCTTCTTCAATTTAAACCAGCGCTTGGAGTGTATCTCAAGCATCTGAGCAACGAGACACTTGGCAGAACCTGATGATGTGTGTAGATTCCTAATCTCCCAGGTGGAAGCTACAAAACAGCATAAAAGTGAGCCCATAAAATTGCACAGGTAAAGCAAATGTAATTATGTAGTATCTCAAACATATTTACGACAAGCAACTATTAAAAAAGTTGCAAATGAAAGAGAAGTATAAGCATGACCACATTAACTGTATAAAGTTAAGCATAGCAGCTATTAAAAGCAGCTATTATTTAATATATACCAAAAACAAAAAGGATAAATAAGAAGCAATACGTAATGCTTCCAGTTTGAAAGCACATACTGGTAAATAAAAAATAAGAGTTGTTTTCAATAAAAATTAAAACAAATCGCATAAAAAATTGCTTCCTCAAACTATGAATATTCTCTAAATTGTACCAAAGCACTGAAAAAGCTCTTATGAAGTCTGTTGTTCTCAGCTTTGACAAAAAATGGGTGCTTACGGGTTACGAGCACTTATGTTTATAACTGCCAGATAGCAAAATAAAATATGAATCTAACTAGGAAGCCAAGGCACAAGCATAAAGTCCAATTATTTTACAAAAGCATGCAAGAGTTTCAAGCACCATTACATTTGCATTCTTATCAAGGAATTAGCTTTAATACATCCAATCATGACTAGGATTTGAAAGTTTATTCCTTCGTCATAGGCTCATAGCATAACTATATCCAGTTCACAAGAATAAAGTCCAATTCTATACAAAAACACAACAGGTTAAACAATATCTACATTTCGTATATAAAGATAACAGCATGGGTACATAACAAGATTTGAGTTTGACAAATTTGATCCCTAAGATCTCAATTAATATCTGTGAGTTTTGATTTCAAAGAAAGGTCTCAAATATACATTGACATACTCTAACCAGATTTATTTTTCAGTAATGATCGTGGAAATACAATTTTCATATATATGTTTCGTTGATTGCGTAAATGAGTGTCACGTACGGTAAATATTTGTACGTCGATATCCAGATTTTGGAGGCCGGTTTTTATGAACAGCGGGAAATTGCAAAATTGCTGCAAAAAAAACAAATAAGATTTGTATATGAAATAGGGAAAGTTCCCGAAATAGGGCTAAAATAGTTTCAAAATTCCAAAATAGGACTGTCATGTTTTTTATTCCCAAAATAGGACTAATTACTGCCATGTTTAGAAAATACTGACATGTTTGAAGTCTGGTACTGCCAAAACATGGAAGTAATGAGTCCTATTTTGGGAATAAAAACATGGCAGTCCTATTTTGGAATTTTCAAACTGTTTTAGTCCTATTTCGGGTAATATCTCTATGAAATAATGAATGCAATGTAATACCAAACTGTAGAGGGAATGTAGCTGTGGCGAGGCCATTTTGATTTTCAAATGTGGTTTTCATGGAAAAGCAAAATTCTAATTGCAATAACTCTGAAATTAGTCTGTTACATTCAATTTTTTATTAACTTTGAACATTTATAAATGGAGTATATTCCATTGTCCAAAGCAAGTTACTAATTCCACGAAATTCTTAAAAGCAGATATTCATAAATTCAGTTTAGAGATTAGGAGCCACAATTCATTAGGGCATTGGTTTATTATGTTTGTGATGTTGGAATACGGTGTATACTGTATAGATATGAATGCTGGAATGGTTTGTTACTATTTAGGTATTGGAATGTGCTCACTAAGATGGGCATAGTAGACCAAATGGTCCAATGGATGGCCAAGGTTATAACTCGTCGTCAAGGCAGAAACAACATGACATGAGTAGTAGAAGCTGGAAAGTATGTATGCATTGATATAGCACATGATTAAAAAACAAGGATTATTCGCAAAATATATCCCCAACTATCATAAAATTTCAGATTTATTCTATACTTTCACCTTTATTAAAAAAGACTCGAACTTCAATTTTTCTCACAATTACACTCTCAGTGGATGAATTAGTAAAACTTATGAAGATAATCATAATTATATTTCATATTTTTTCACTTCTTTCTAGTTTTAAGTTTACAAACATGTATTGCTTATATCTTATTGATATTGAAAAAATGTGTAATTTTGAAAAAACAAAAAAAAAGCATAATTGTTGAAAAAGATGAAGTTTGAGTCTTTTTATAAAAGTCAAAGCATAGGATAGATTTGTGAATTTGACGATAGTTCGGGATAAAATAAGCTAATAATACAAAAACAAAAGGAAAAGGAAAGAAGTTTAGTCATTGAATTAGAGTTAATGTTTCATGTTGACTACTTAAGACAGCTCAAAATTCTTACTATATGTTCCATCTTGTCCTTGAAACCATTGCCGAGAGAAGACAAAATCTTTCTTAGAATGCCACCTGCAGAATTTTGAAGCTTAGGCAGAGAGTTTGGAGTATTCATCTCCTTCTTTAGAAGGTTGAAACTGGAAGGGCATCCAGCTTAAAACACTGCAATGTTAAGTATTAACATTTTCAAGTTTGGAATTGGGCTTCTTCATTTTAATTTAAAATACAATTTTAACTTTATAATTTATTTTTAAATTGTAACATAAGCAGCATAATTTAAAGTATTAAGATCCTTACAAGTAGCTTTGCCTTTTTTATAAATTGAATAGGCTTAACTATAATTTGCACAAAATATTTTCTTCAGATGGTATTTAATTGATGAGGGAGATCAAAGGTTAATTTGATCTTAAACACATTAACCATTTAGAAGTTTTATATGGATTATATTATAAGAAATACTCCTTCTGTCCCATTTTGTAAGTTACACTTACCTTTTTGGGTTGTACAAAAAATATGAACACTTCCCTAAATTGAACTCCACTAACTTTTTACTTTCTCACTTTATCCCTTTATCTATCCTTTCATCATTTACCTTTTTCTTATTATTTTGTGGAGTTTAGAATTGTAAAACAGCCACTTTATCATTTATTTTCTTAAAACTCATGTCAAATCCACTTGTATCTTACATTATGGGACGGAGGGAGTAATTAATACTAGTATTAATTATTAATGTAAAATGGAGGATGGTTTAAGAGATTTGCATATATTTTACATTTTAATTAAGAACTGAAAATAGAGAATTCATGAATAAGATTTCATCAAATTACCACAAATTACTAAACATGGTACACTCCCGGAGTTACACTACGCAGTTGCAATCAAATACTACTAATTGGACAGCTTTTTTAGTTGGCCCATATTTGAGGCAGCTCTCTTAAAAAATAACTAGGCTCATACTAATTAGGGCCTTGGCCCTGATTACTAATTGGCCAGTTAAGACTTTTAAGCCACAATTTAGATTTAAAAAACCCCTAATAGGCTACACCCAACCATGGTTTAGAAGGACTAATGGCTAATAATGAAAGAAGAACCATGGTGCATACGGAAGAACAAAGCTGAGAGGCTGTGTGTCGACATGAGAGCACCAAGCCACCATGGCGCATATGAAAGAAAAAAGCTTATGGTAAGTTGGTTGAGTGTGTTTGATAAGGATTGTTGAGGCCTTTAGGGTACTACTATGACTCCCCTGTGTGTTTTATTTGGATTTGGTTATTTCCCTCATTTATTGGTAGTTAAATCTTAGAACTATATTGTCCATAGTTCATATTTATACTCAATACTTTGTGTATTACGGCGATGCCATAAATGCCGCCATAAATGCCACATCACCATAACCAGGGCAAACAGCCTTTTCACCATGATGGTGTCCATATGCCATGACAACTGTGACTAAAATATATTTTACGCAGTGTAAATTAACTTGAGAACATCGAACTGTGGTGACAGGAAATCTAGATGCATTCCTAGCGAGAGGCGGTGGTCTTTTATGCAATCTGTACGATAACAATCTACTATTATTGTTGATAGACTTTTTACTTGCAACTCCATGACTTTCCATAAACTATTTAAATGCTTAACTCCCAGCTTAAAGATGGACCCCAGCTTTGGTGGGCCATGTGCAATCACCAATTTTGCTCATTCTCATGGTCATCACTGTTTGCCATGGATCATGTACGCGACTTCTTTGTCAGGTGAACAACTATTAAAAGTTAAAACTACACACAACTGTGAAAAGACCACACAATAGAAGAGCAGAGTAACGACACACAAAAAGAATGAATTGTTCAGGTGTGTACCAGGTAAGGTGTCTTGGATCAAAAGTTCCATAAACTACATCATAATGTCCATCCAAAGAATCAATCAACTCAAGGTCACCTGACAAAGCATCCCACCTTCACACATATACTACATAAATTGTAAGGTAAGCATGGAAGATACTCCTACGAAATAGTAAAATCTACATACTCATATCGTTGGCGACGATCAAGATTTAACACCACCTCAAAAACAGTGTCGGCACTGGCTTCAACAACACCAACTGCCTTGACAAGAACACCCTTGGCACTCTGAAAAATGCAAAATGATGATGACAACCGTGTTAGTGGTACAAATAAGTAATGCTGCACAGAGATGTTTGATACTCATATTGATAGTCAAATTTGATACTTAAATTCAGTTATGGCATTATCGTCTTGGTCATAATGTCTTGTGAATTTATAAAAATTCTGCCTTTGATTTTGAATTTTGTCAACTTGCTAAACATACTAGAAGTCACTATCTCAGTCTACCTTACAAACCATCTAAACCATTTTCTCTCATCCACAGTGATGTTTGGGGCCCATCCAAGGTCAAAAATCTCACTGGTTCAATGTGGTTTGTTCTGTTTATTGATGATCATACACGCCTAACTTGGGTCTTCCTCATGAAAGAGAAGTCAGAAGTCAATATTATCTTTCAAAAATTCTATTCTATGATCAAAACTCAGTTTCAAACCAAGATTAAAGTTTTTAAAACTGATAATGCCAAAGAATATTTCTCATCTGACTTTGGAGAGTTTCTGTCCAAAAAGGGGATTATACACATTAGCTCCTGTGTTGACACCCCACAACAGAATGGGGTGGCAAGAAGGAAGAATAGACACTTGCTGGAAGTTGCAAGAGCCCTTATGTTCACCACTCACACTCCTAAACACTAATGGGGAGAGGTTGTCCTAACTGCAGCTTATCTGATAACTAGGATGCCCTCCAAAATTCACCAATTCAAAACCCCATACCAAATCTTATCTACATCCTCACACCCCTCTTACCAATCTTCCACCAAAGGTCTTTGGTTGCAAAGCATTTGTTCACAACCATTCTCCACTTAGGTCAAAACTGGATCCCAAATCCTTACCTTGTATATTCATAGGATATGCTGCCAACCAGAAAGGATATAAATGTTATTCTCCTACCACAAAAAAGGTCTACATCACAATGGATGTAACCTTTTTAGAAAATCAGCCTTTCTATTCCAAAACTGAATTCCAGTGGGAGAATCACAATGAAATCCAGTCTTTGAACCCTATTTCACCTATTTCAAACACTATTCCAGACCTCCAAGATTCTGAATCTAACCCCACTGAACCTATACTCCTAGACAGATCTGAATCAAGCCCTCCAGACAAAGCAGCCCCTACATCAACCTCACCATTTCAGCCATCAACTTCATCACCCCAAAATCCTACACTAAATCAAAATTCCCCATTCTACAAGAATACCTATAAGCAGAAACCTAGAAGCAGAGTTCCAGAAGAAGAGCACATCACTCCAATTAACACCACCCAATCACTTGACTCAAATTTGAATCCTGATGACAAAGAGGTTGAGGCTATAGAAGGAGATGAGGAGGAACGAGACTTGCCTATTGCTATCAGAAAGGGAGTAAGGGAGTGTACCAACATCCTATCTAAAATTTTGTTTGTTATAAGAAACTATCAACAAACTATCAAGCTTTTATTTCACAGATTGATAGTATTCAGGTTCCTAACAACCTCAAGGAAGCCCTTGAACATCCAGGGTGGAGGAAGGATGTCCATGATGAATTAGCAGCATTAAAGAAGAATGGAACTTGGGTGCTTACAGATCTGCCAGCAGGGAAGATAACTGTTGGCTGCAAGTGGGTATTTACAGTTAAATATCAGGCTGATGGAAAGATTGAAAGGCTAAAGGCAAGGCTGGTTGCTAGGGGGTTCACCCAAGCTTATGACATTGATTATTCAAAGACATTTGCACCAGTGGCAAAGTTGAACACCATTACAGTATTGTTATCACTCGCAGTGAACCTAGACTGACCATTACATCAACTAGATGTTAAGAACACATTTCTTAATGCAGACCTAGAAGAAGAAGTATTCATGGATGTACCACCAGGGTTAGAAGACTTAGTGAAATCTGGCCAGGTTTGCAGACTGAAAAAGTCCTTGTATGGACTAAAGCAGTCTCCTAGAGCATGGTTTGATAGATTCAAAAGATCAGTTATTAAACAAGGGTTCATGCAATGTCAGGCAGACCATACACTATTTGTAAAGAGGGCAGACTCACGTAAAATAGCTATTCTTATAGTATATGTTGATGATATTATTATGACTGGGGATTATAAGGCTGAATTAGACAGATTGAAGGCTCATCTAGCAAGAGAGTTTGAGATCAAGGAGCTAGGCGAGTTGAAGTACTTCCTGGGAATGGAAGTGGCAAGATCTAAGAAAGGCATTTTCATTTCACAAAGGAAATATGTCCTAGACTTGCTAAGTGAAACTGGAATGCTTGGGTGCAAGCCTATGGACATTCCTACGGATATATCAAAGAAGTTAGGCAGTGAGACTGAAAGTCCACCAGTTGATAAGGGTAGATATCAAAGGCTGGTAGGGAAGCTAATCTACCTATCTCACACACGGCCAGACATTGCTTTCTCAGTAAGTGTGGTAAGTTGTAAGTTTTAGGAATAAAACTTCCTTGATTGAATGAGCCATTCGGCCAGAGTATAAATACAGTTTGTACAGATAACTACAAGCTGGTACAGATCCTAAAAATTAGGATCTAGATAACTATGAGCTTATCTACAACTAACTAAGTCTATCCGACTCACTATGTACATCAATCTAATCAGGAAAAATAATGTAACATTTTTCTAATAATGTAACATTTTTCTACACTCCCCCTCAAGTTGGTGAATATATATCATACATTCCCAACTTGCTTATAAGTAGCTCAAATATAGGTCTAAATAACCCTTTGGTGAAGATATCAGCTGTTTGATCTTTAGTGGATACAAATGGTGTGCAAATGATTCCAGCTTCAATCTTCTCCTTCATGAAATGTCTGTCCACTTCAATATGCTTAGTTCTATCATGTAGCACAGGGTTATGAGCAATGCTTATAGCAGCTTTATTATCACAATATAACTTCATAGGCAGCTCAATCTCCATCTTTAGTTCTGTGATTACTCGTTTGATCCAGAGTAACTCACATATTCCATTAGCCATAGCTCTGAATTCTGATTTTGCACTACTTCTAGCAACCACATTTTGTTTCTTACTTCTCCAGGTTACTAGATTTCCACATACATAGGTGCATTATCCAGAAGTAGATCTCCTATCAGATATTGAGCCAGCATAATCTGCATCAGTAAAAGCTTCAATTGTCCTATTGTTTCCCTTTTTGAAAAACAATCCTTTCCCTGGACAGCTCTTCAGGTATCTCAGAATCCTGTAAGTAGCATCAAGATGTTCTTGGAGAGGATGATGCATAAACTGACTCACTATGCTTACTGCAAATGCAATATCTGGTCTTGTGTGTGCCAGATATATTAATTTTCCTACCAATCTTTGATATTGGTGAATATCAACTGGATTTCCCTCCTTGATATCTCCCAATTTCTGACTTGGGTCAATTGGAGTGTATGCTGGTTTGAAGGCACTCATTCCAGTTTCCTGTAGAAGATCTAGAACATATTTCCTTTGTGAGACAACAATACCCTTCTTTGATCTAGCTATCTCCATTCCTAGGAAAAATTTTAAATTTCCTAGGTCTTTAATCTCAAATTCATGAGCAAGTTTGTCTTTCAATCTTTTAGTCTCTGTGTGATAATTTCATGTGAGGATAATATCATCTACATAGACAATTAAGATTGCAATCTCCCCCTTACCCGAAAACTTCATGAATAAAGTATGGTCAGCTTGAGCTTGATTAAATCCTTGCTTCTTTATGAACTTTGTGAATCTGTCAAACCAGGCTCTTGGAGACTGCTTAAGTCCATATAAAGCCTTCTCTAATCTGCAAACTTTTAACCCAAACTTATTTTCAAACCCAGGAGGGGGTTCCATGTACACTTCTTCTTCAAGTTTCCCATTTAAAAAAGCATTCTTTACATCCAGTTGTTGTAATGGCCATGGCCAGTCTAAATTGGCAGCAAGAGATAAAAGAATTCTTACAGTGTTCAACTTTGCAACTGGTGCAAAAGTTTCTTTAATCAATTCCATAGGTCTGTGTGTACCCCTTGGCAACTAGTCTTGCCTTATACCTCTCCAAACTTCCATCTACCTTAAACTTGGGGGTGAAAATCCACCTGCAACCAACTGTAGGTTTATTTTTAGGTAACTCTACAAGCTTCCATGTCTGATTCTTTTCAAGAGCCTCCATCTCCTCCAAAACAGCTTTCTTCCACTCAGGTTTAGATAGAGCATCCTGAATGGTTGGAGGAATAGAAATAGAAGAGATATTGGAGGTAAAGGCTGCAAAGTCTGAGGTCAATTTAGAATAAGAAAAATAGTTTGAGATGGGGTGTTTAACACATGTTCTTCTCTCTTTTCTGAGAGCAATAGGAAGGTCAAAGTTGCTAGAAGTATTACCTTTTTCACTTCCTGACATTGAGGCAGAATCATGGACAGTTGTAGGTTCTTGGACTTCCTCTATTCTTTGATTTCTAACCCTTCTCTCATAAGTTTTTCCAAAGAACTGACTTGTCTGTTGATCCTTTTCAATTGGTTCAGTTGGATTTACTTCATTATTTTTTATTCCTTGATCATTTTCAGGTGTACTGATATTTCTAAATTAAGAAAATTAAGATTTTCATGAATATGTGGCATTATTGGAACATCTTCACTTAATTTCTCCCCCTGAAGATGAGAATCAAAAAAGGTTGTTCTTCCACAAAAAAAGTATCCATAGTAACAACCATTGTTTTGGTTGTAGGATCAAAACATTTATACCCTTTTTGAGTGGCAGAAACACCTAGAAAAACACATTTTTTCCTCTAGGATAAAACTTACTTGCAGATCTATCTGGATTTTTTATAAACACTGTGCAACCAAAAAATTTTAAAGGAAGGGTGTTTACCAATCTATTTGTAGGAAAGAAGTGTTGTAGTGAACTAATAGGACTTTTAAATCCTAAAGTTTTGGATGGCATGCGATTAATTAAATAAGTAGCATGTAACACTGCTTCTCCCCACAAATATTTTGGTATGTTTGTTGAAAACATGATTGCACGAGTGACTTCAAGCAAATGTCTATTTTTCCTTTCTGCAATTCCATTTTGAGTTGGTGTATTGACACAAGAGCTTTGATGAATAATGCCTTTTTCAGTAAAAAAGATGTTTAAAGTTTGAGAAAAATATTCACGGCCATTATCACTTCTTACCATTTTAATTTTGGTATTGAATTGAGTTTGGACCATAGCATAAAATGTTCTAAATATTTTCTCAACTTCAGATTTTTCTTTGATTAAAAATACCCATGTGACACGAGTATGATCATCAATAATAGTTACAAACCATCTTTTTCCCTTTAAAGTTGGTATTCTAGATGGACCCCAAATGTCACTATGTACCAAGGTAAAAAGACTAGTAGGTTTATAACTGTGGGGTAAATAAGTGTTTATGTGATGTTTTGCAAGTGCACACATATCACAATTAAAAAAAGAAGCATCTTTATTCAGAAATTATTGAGGAAACATCTTTTTTAAATAATAGAAACTAGGATGTCCTAGTCTATAATGAAGTAAATACAAATCTTTATTATTTGAAAAAGAAACAGTTTGCAGACAAGCATTTCTTGGACCTCTTTTATTAGATTGAGTTTCTCCATCAAAGATATAGAGTCCATCCTCCTCCTTAGCACTGCCAATCATCTTCCCCGATGCCGGGTCCTGAAAAATGCAATAAGAAGGATAAAAAGTGACACAACATTGTAGATCTTTAGTTATTTGACTAACTGAAGTAAGATTGCAGGATAGATTAGGGACATGAAGGACTTTGGATAGATTCAGTGATGAGGAAATACTAATATTTCCCATCCCTGCAATGGCTGATAGAGAACCATCTGCAACCTTAACCTTTTTATCCCATGCACTAGGTTTATATGAAGAAAAAAGATTTGAAATAGAAGTCATGTGATCAGTAGCCCCTGAGTCAATAATCCAGGTATTTTTAGATTTCCCAGAACAAAAAAAATGATGAGTAGGTACCATTTTGGGCATAAGAACAAGAGGAAGATTCTGGTTTGGATTCTTTCTGGGAATTTTGGGTTTTCTGGGAATTAAGGAAGTTAAGAAGTTGCCCTATCTGCTCCTGAGTGGTTTGCCATGAATTTTCCAACAAGTCTCCCTAGTGTGCCATAATTTCTTGCAATGATCACACCAGGGTTTTTTCTTGTCATCATTGCTGAAGAGTCCCCAGATTCCTCATTATGTACTGGAATGTTGTACATAACCTTCTTCCTGCTATCCTCCATCCTGATTTCAGAAAATACCTCCCTGATAGAGGGTAGAGGTTTTTTTCCAAGTATCCTCCCCTTAACTTCATCTAGATCTCTATTAATTCCTGCTAGGAACATGTAGACCCTATCATTTTCCTCCCTTTTTTGGTGTCTTGCTAGATCCTTGGCACTCTCCCACTTCTCATCATCATGGCACTGATCCAACTCTTGTCATAGGGAAACCATCTCATTATAGTAAGAGATGATATCTCTATTGCCTTGTTTGGACTGCCACAACTTGGTTTTTAATTCAAAAATCTGAGAAGAGTTCTCAAGATCTGAGTAAGTTTCCTTAATGGAATTCCATACCTCCTTTGCAGTTTTCATGAACATGTGAGGTTTGGCAATTGATGCATCCATTGAACTTAGAAACCATGCTGTCACCAATGAATTTTCTGACCTCCAGACACTGTAGCCATCATCACCAGTTTTTTTCTCCTTTATTTCACCAGTTATGTACCCTAGCTTGCCCCTTCCATCAATAGCCAGCTTGACAGACTGTGACCATTCGAGATAATTTGTGACATTCAATCTATGGCCAGTAATGAGCATAGATGAATGAACTGAGGTCTGGTAGTTTGTCATTGAGCTATTTGGGGAGTTAGGGTTATGGGTTTGTGATTGGGGAGAAGTGTCAGATTGCTCGGTTTCCACCATTGTGGTGTTTAAACAGCATGCTCTGATACCATGTAAGTTTTAGGAATAAAACTTCCTTGATTGAATGAGCCATTCGGCCAGAGTATAAATACAGTTTGTACATATAACTACAAGCTGGTACAGATCCTAAAAATTAGGATCTAGATAACTATGAGCTTATCTACAACTAACTAAGTCTATCCGACTCACTATGTACATCAATCTAATCAGGAAAAATAATGTAACATTTTTCTAATAATGTAACATTTTTCTACATAAGTCAATTCATGAATGACCCAACTCAGGAACACCTAACTGCAGTCTATAGAATTCTGAGGTACCTGAAAATGACTCCTGGAAAAGGATTATTGTTTCAGAAACAAGGGACAAGGAAGATTGAAGTGTTTACCGATGCTGACTGGGCTGGAAGCCTCTTAGACAGAAGGTCAACTACTGTTATTGTACTTATGTATGGGGTAACTTAGTCACCTGGAGGAGCAAGAAACAGTCAGTGGTTTCGAGAAGTAGTGTAGAGTACTAGAGTCTGAGCTCAGGGCTTTAGCACAAGGAATCTGTGAAGGATTATGGTTAAGAAGATTGATGAATGAGCTCAAACTTCCATTTGAAAGCTCCATCCAGATCTCATGTGACAACCAGTCTACTATCAGTATTGCAAAGAATCCTGTCCATCATGACAGCACCAAACATATTGAGATAGATAGAAGATTCTTATCAGAGAAGATTGCAGCAAAGGATATCCAACTAAGCTATGTTCCAACCAGGCAGCAAATAGCTGATATACTCACCAAGGCACTCCCAGAATTCAGTTTGAAGACTTATCTAGCAAGCTGTGCATGTATGATATCCAATACTCAGCTTGAGGGGGAGTGTAGATTATTACAGATAGTTCTATTTACACACCCGATTGAGCATTTATGAGGAGATATCTTAGAGATCTCAGAATCTCTAAATATCCCCAAATATCTTTTCTTTATTAGGGAACCTTAATTAGGTGGATTCCTTCCTTATTTCACTTTTCTCTAGCTATATATATATTCTGTATTCTTCTCCTTGTAAATCAGAATAAATAAAAACATTATACATTCTACTTTCTCGAGTTCTTTCTACAGAGAGCATACATTATAAACTACCTATACTTTCATGCCATTATAGAACTGATTATTAAATAAGGATGGTAAGAATATCTATAACTGATTACTAAATAAGCTTTAAAATCCAAATAATTAGCTACAGAAAATGAACCGTAGAAGGTAGTTATCAACTTATCATAAGGCACATAAGTATAACTATGTTGAACATTAATTTCATCCAGAGACTTATTATCATTTGTGTCAGAAGATAGTATGACCATTTGCAAAACTCTGATAAAGTATAAAACAATTTCACTCTACTATTGAACCACCTCATAGTGCCTTTTCATATTTCTTTTCCCTAACCGCCCTCTGATTTACTATAGTGAGGTTATGACTTCTTCTACTGGACCAGGCATAGGTGGGCCAATACAAATAGATAGTCCATCTTTCAAAAAGTAGAATGAGTTTAACTAGATTTCATAATTTCATATTGAAGCTGGTCTAATTTTCCTTGAGTTTATCGAATTATATTGGGCAATAGAAACTACTCTGTTATGCAAAAAGGTTATATATAACCAAGTTCCAGGATACTACTCCATCTGAAAACACTTGGGGCATGTAGATATCAGTGTAGGTGAAAATCTATTCATGATTCTGGCAAAAGTGGGGGACTGGAAATCTGAAGGTCGCTAATATGATCAATGATCAATGATCAGAACAATCTTGAAAGTAATGTGCTCCCTTCTTTTTAATATGAGGTTGAATCTTCCAGTGGATGATTTGAGACAGTTGGAAAATTCTAAGGTTGAAGAAGATGTGCCTATCGTGAACTCACAGAGCATCTAGGGCTGGCTGGGGAAAGTAGGGGAGAGGAAATGGCAGATCAGGTGAAGTGAGTAGACCACCAACTCAGGGGAGGAATCCTGGAGCCATTGATCGTATTACCCTTCATTGCCTCGTGATAAGGATAAATAAATTTCAACTGCTCCAAAGTTGGGAGCCAAGGGATAATCAAAATGTTGAAGAGCCTTAAGAAGCAGTGATAGGCTCTCGCCTCTCTGAACATTAAATTAAACTCAGTGGTCTTATACCGCTCTTCCTTGACTAGAAAGTGAAGTCTTTCCTTGCTAGGTGTTTGAGGCTGTTTGTGTGGTGATTACAATTGAAAGATATTTTCAGTTTGGCTCTTGGACCTCTTGATGGGGGGATGGGGGGATGGCTCCGAAATTAGGTTAGGAATCTTTTCTGTTAATAAAACATTAACATCACTTTATGATGGATACCTTCGCTTGAGCCACATCTTCAAACATTCGAACACCTATACTTCGAAAACGTGAAAACAAAGTTACAAGTAAACAAAGAAAAAATATTAGAGAAAATTAAAAATCTCAAGACATAAAAGACTGTTCATTTTCATTTTCATTTACCCCAGTGCCGCAAAGGCTCCCACCTACGGTGGGGTAAGGTGGGGTCGGATGTACGCAGCCTTACCCCTGTACTAAAGCACAGAGAGACTGTTTCCGGATGACCCATAGTGAAAATCCCGTCCAAAATTGCATGGACTGACTGCTGCTTCATAACAAAGAAGCGCAGACAGTTTAGTGAGCCATTTTGCTTTATTCCATCATAATCTCAAGCCAAAAAATAATGAATCTTTGGCTCCATTGCAAATGATGGAAAAACATAAAAGACTGTTCATAAAAATTAATTTAGCACTCCCTAAAAGGTCATGAAGTGAAGTGCTTTCTAGATAAAATGCTTTTAGGACAAAGAGAAAATTCACAAAAGTATGAGTATTTCTGGGAAAGCATATGATTAGGCAAGCGAGCACATGATGCTAGCATAAATCAATTTCCATGGTTTTGAAATAGGCGCCTTCTGCTCCAGCTACTTACGGTATCAATAATTACAGTCTCAATTTCAGCCAGATAATATACAAGTACCACCATTCAAATGAAAATGTGGTGGGCTTTAAATTTAAACACAAATAAGATTACAGCTAACTACCAATATAAAGGAGTACAAGTGTACAAAAACCATACCATTAATTGTTTGGACGCATTTCCATTCATGTGGTTCTACAGCATCCGCTCTGTCTGCATCATAGTACAGCTCTGATCTGCTGTCTGCACCCAGACTTGAAGCTTGGCGCAGAAGTTTCTGCGGACCTACGCACAGAAGAACATGTATAACATATAATCATCAAATAGATTACAGAAAGTACTTGCTCATCTATGGAACAAGTGAAGCTCGAACATAGATATGGTGCGAGTTTGAAAACATGATGGGATAGGGTTTCATGGAGAAAGAGGGATTGTGTGTGCGAGACTGAGGAAATTACAACTTTATGACAGTAATAAATTATTCTACTACAAGTTAAACAAGAATTTCCACATTCAAATTAAATTGTCAACCTTGGCCTATTTTTATTAGCCTTTTCAAACCACGCCGCACTCTAGGTCGATGTCCTTCAAGGTTGATCCTTCAACAAAAGATATTAACTTTAGGTGGCAAAAATAACAAATGTGTTAGTAGACTCGGAACAGGCAGTCAATTTATGCTGTGATCTGAATGATGTCATGAATCAATTTATTGTAAGAACAGTTTAGGCATAACATAAAAGAGATTAGAAAGATTGCCTAAACTTAACCCTTTAGGAATCATAGAACTCATGTATTGAGTGTTGTTTACTATATCTGCACTGTGGCTTTGGAATCATAATAACAGTAACATTCCTAGCTCATGTGTGATGTGTCCCTTACTTAGCATAAACATCCCTCACTGTTGCAATCTTCATGATTTCATGTTACATTCAATTCTAATGAAATACAGAGCCCATGGCCCTATGCATTATATTTCTCTACTGCTCTTGTGTATACTTTTATTGATTCCACCTACCACTTGTGGTGACTCTTTCTCTAGTTTTCCAACAATAATAATCATTTTATTGGCAAGTGTATTTAGGAAAGGAATATGGACTATGTTTACAAAATTTCAGAATTGAGCACAGCAACCCAAGAAATAACAGAGAAAAAACTTTCATGTGTGGAACAGTATATGCCCAAATTGTTCAGGATTCTTTATTTACACATGAGTACATGACATTTAGAGCTTCTATAATATGTGAAAAAGAAAAGAAATTAGAAATAAGCAATGAAAGTCTATCTTTTTACAGAAACTTTGTGTACATAGTCCAAATATAGGTCTTGTTCTTATAAGAGAGTGTGTAACCCATACTCCGTCTCCATGTTCAGCTTAGTCCTTGCACTGCCACCTCTTGTCAGCTCATATTCTGCCTGTGTTGAATTAGTTGATTGAAAGGAAGTGCCAAAAACTGTAACACTACTTGACAGGCATCTTTGTTTCAGGAGTGGGATTTTGACAAATATGCAAAGCATTTGAGTTTAAAAAACAGGACTATGGAATTAATGATTTCATTAAAAGTATGTTGGTAAATTTCCTTTTCTTGACCAGGTTATAGAGAGGAACACAAAAAATGTGATCACTTAAGCAGTGGTCAATAGATCACGGGTTAAGAATGGAAGCTATTTGACCGCTCCATAATAGGCTGTAAATCTTGAACACAATGAAGTCTAGTTGACTGATCCAATATTTTTTTTTAAAGAGAAATTTTATTGATAATAGGAAAGACAGTACAAAGTGGTAAAGTAAAAGGCGAAAAAACAGTACAAAAAGGAAAGGAACAAGGAAACTAATAAATTATCTAATCCCAGGGGAAGTCTCTGGTTTGAGATCTTGTTCTCATGCTATGCCGCCTTTTGTTCTTTTGAGTTTTTCTATAGATCCAATATAATATACATTTTTTCTCAAATCTTTAATACCTGTTGTTTTGCCTGATCAAATGCCTCCATCCACTGTTTGGCTTCTCCAGCTGTAGGGCAAGCAATCTGGTAACAAACACAAATTTTCACATGCTGGGAAATTTTATATTCTTCCATGAATGGAGAGAATTGCACCCTATTCATTTCATTTTCATTTTCATTTACACCAGTGCCGCAAAGGCTCCCACCTACGGTGGGGTAAGGGGGGTCGGATGTACGCAGTCTTACCCCTGTACTAAAGCACAGAGAGACTGTTTCCGGATGACCCATAGTGAAAATCGCGTCCAAAATTGCATGGACTGACTGCTGCTCCATAACAAAGAAGCGCAGACAGTTTAGTGAGCCATTTTGCTTTATTCCATCATAATCTCAAGCCAAAAAATAATGAATCTTTGGCTCCATTGCAAATGATGGAAAACCCTATTCAATATGGAATAAATTAATATTTGGCTAAAGGGACAAATAGGCCCCTGTACCGGTCGTGCAAGCTCAATTCAGCCCCTGACCTAAAAAAAGGTCCAATTCGCACCCTGAACCGACAAAAAAGGTTTCAAATTTCATTTTTTTTTACAGGTGAACCATTTTTTGTCGGTTCAGGGTGCAAATTGAACCTTTTTTTAGTTCAGGGACTGAATTGAGCTTACACGACCTGTACAGGGGCCTATTTGACCCTTTAGCTTTAATATTTTATACTACCTCCGTCTCAATGAATTCTTCCAAATCAAACTTGGCTCGCAAATTTAGAAAGTGGGACAAAGTGGAAATGTATGGTTATAGTTGTGTAAGAAAAAGGTGAATGAATGTGAACCACATATTTTTCCCAAAAGTGGAAGTTGGAAGAATTATTTGGGACGGCCCAAAAAGGAAAGTTGGAAGAATTCAATGGGACGGAGGGAGTATGATACAATGTTTGGATGCAAATCCCATCCGACCACAGATGAAGGTTGAAATTTTCCCTTTAAAAGGAAACTCCCGCTGCAGAAAATTGTGAATGGCAGTTTATGGAGGAGGTCTATCGAAGAATTTTGGTCATCCACCATTAGTAACAGTAACAATTTGCAGTATGTACCAATCTTATCAGTGGATCAAATAAATCAATCTAGTGTAAATTGGCCTCAATGTTCACCAAAGCTAAGATAGGCCCGGTGAAATGTAGTAATCTGCTTAAATAAATTTCCAAAAATGCAAAGTGCATTATGGCATTTGACAGTTGCATACCTTTCAATTAAGTTCGTTTACAGTTCATATAAGCGAATGGATGGAGAATGAAGAAAAGTACTTACTTCTCCCTTTTTTGCTTCATCCAACCGATTGTAAAATTTCAGAACATAGACATCCTAATAGCCAAAAAAGAAAATACTGCACTATATCAGATTCAATCATCTCAATGAACACATTTTGTTGAAAATGTGTTAGAGAGGCAAGATGTAACAATGTGGAAACAACAACAACAACATCCAATCCTTAGTCCCAAAAGAGTTTGGGGTCGGCTAACATGAATCGACATATGAAATTGGAGCTTCAATGTGGAGATTGAAGCAAAATACTTACCCCATGATTAACTCTTCGACGACCCAAGTCCTCAACGATAAGTGTGTGTCCAATAGCACCCTTTCTGATGGGTTTCTGCCACAAAAACAACAAAAACATAGTTCGATATATTAGCTTAAGGTTGCGGTGGTAGCTCTCTCACATCACTCCAAAGTCTGATCTATAAAAAAATTAGAAATCATCTTGAGGTATGAAGAAGCTTTTAAGTGGAGTCACAGAACCCAATTGACAGAGCATGTCCAATTGTGTTATATTGTTCAACCCGAAAAAATCCTATCTAGCAATAGCATCGAGTTTTGAAAGGAAAATGGGATTCCCCTTTTTAAACAAAAACTAGCAACTACTTTCCTTGGACATTAAGTAGTCCTTAGGAGCAAGGTTTTGAAAGGAAAAAATGTGCCCTAAGGCAATTAGCCTTTGCTTCAATGTGTAAGCCCTGAGGTAAAGTGTGGCAAAAACCTCGAATTAGTATAAATAAATAATAGCCATGCTTTAAAAAGGCAGTTAAGAGGTGGCTTTTGTGGCGTGCCTCGATGTGAGGTGCACAGATCAGGTATTGAGGCTTACATTTTTTGGCAGGATAAGAGGCTAACGCCTCAAAAGTCAGGGTTTAAGCCTTGAGACGTGACTCAAAGCATTTTTGGAGGCGGTTTTTCATTTGTTTCTTTCATTTTATTGTGGTTGCAACTTAAAAAGGACCGGTAAATTGTACTGGTATTTAAAAACGCCCATACCCTAAAAAAATAAAAAGAAAAGGCCCACACATTAAATGTGTCTAATATATACTTTCTAAACCCTAACAAGTCTGGCAATTGAAACATCATTAAAATACTTTCATATTCTTGCACAATGATATGAATAGGAGGAGGATTTTGATGATGATGATGATGATGATGATGATGATGGAAAGGATGATGGTGATGAGGAAATAAGATATAATGACAGTGATAAGTTTATAAGATATGGATATTAAGCTTCCAGGTTTGTAAATGGTGCCATCTGTATGTTGTGTTTGTTTGTGTTTTTGAATTGCCATTTTGACTTATTGTGCTTGATATGTGATCATATTAGTTTTCGAAATCCTTACAATACCCACCACCCCATTAAAGATTTTGGAAGTCAAAACATCCTTTATTAAGTACCAAACCCCTCTTAACATATCATTAGGGTGACCCTTTATCCATTTCCCTTACCAAGTCCATCTCTCAAGGGTATATATCTATTTTTCACAGGAGCTGTGAGTTTTATAAGATGCCCGATGGCTGTAATTGGAGCATTTCTATACACAGGAATGCATACACACATGTATAGAAGAATAATATCTATAACACAGACATATATATACACACATACATACACACACACACACACATTTATATACATATTTACATACATATATGTGTGTGTACTATATCTACGCATACATATGGAGAGTGCTAATAGCCCTTAGGGGCTTGTGGCTGCAGTCTTCAACATATGACTAAATCGCCGCAACCAAGAATCTCACATTTTATCTTCAATATGAGGTACTCCCACTTTTCACCTGATTTTCAGCCCTCAAACAGTCTCTCCTAGTATGCACACACGTCCAATGCAACATACGCATCTCAACCACATTTATCATTTGAATGTGACACTATTACACCGTCCAACAATTTATGTCATACCTAGATCATATAAAAAATCTGATGCACTCTTACATTTTATTCACTTCACTTTGATCATGTGGGATATATTCATGTATCTCTATCTAATAACAGAATGTTTTTTTGGATGCAATACAAACGAGTTGAGACTTGAGATATGTAAAATGTATACACTCTTGGGGTTTTGGATTAAAAGCCTTGATCTTTAGTTCCTTAACCCGTGTCCTTACGCCTATGGACTATGGTTGGCAGACCTTGTGTTTGTATACAACACTTACGCGTTGTGTGTATGATCTTGAGCCAAATCATTATGCATAATACAGGAACATACTGATTACTGACCTTTCTAGAAATACCACTATATTCACGACTACTTTCTATGTACCTCAGATCCTAAAAAATAGTCCCGTTAATAATACAATTTTAGTTTTACGAACCAGATTCTTTCTTAGCTGATAATAGCACAGAGCTATTGAAAAGAACAGAACAATGCATTAAATCAGAAATTCTTGAAAAAGATGGGTGAACGAAACATTGAAGTGGTTCAGTTCTTAGTACAGCTTCAGTTTATAGGGTTGCTAATATCCTTTGAGGTAATCTATTTCAAGATCTTATCATTTTGTTGCATACTTCTAGATATGGAACCTGAATAATTCTTTGTACTGTAATTGAAAAATAACCACAGGAACAGACAACTAAAAAATAGGAATATCTAGTTGGTGAGCTAATCCAATCAACCCAGTTCTCCAATTGTTTTCCGACTAAATCCATTCGTCTTCTTTTGCCCTTATTTCTCAAGGTATTTTTCTGTTCTCAAGAAGATAGAGAAAGCTTCTACTTTTAAAAAAGAAAGCTTTTACATTTAAAAAAAACACCAGCTAAAAGAGGTAATCATAACTACAGCGTAGTAACCATGACTTCAGCTAAGAGAGGTATTTGCACTTACAATCCCGGGATTCTCATGAGGGTCGCGCTTGTACATTTCAACGTTCTTGCCGCGGATGAAGAGGTAGCGGAGATGGCAATACTCACGGCCAATAGAATTGACCCCGAGATGATACACCCAGCCAGAGTACTCGAAAGAGCTAACACCGCCGAAGAATCTGTCTGATCCGCCGCCCTCTGAGCTGCCGCTTTCCGACGAGCTACCTTCGCTCCCCTTCTTCAATGGCTGGACCGTGTTAGCCATCGCTGAAAAGGACAACCGCAGAGAGAAATCTTAAAGAAAGAGAGCTACTCAGTGTGAATATGCACACATAAGGAAAGTCCCACTCATAAATACTCTGTTGTGCGTTGTTCGAAATCATCGAATCAAAGCTTTGATCGTACATTCCAATTTTTACAGCGTAAAATAAAATCATAAAGATGGTCAACTAAGCATAATTACGGGCCCACGCGTTTCTTAAATTTTAAATGTTTGATTTAAATTTATGCACATGCCAATGTTTAACTATAATGAGAAGTGAAGTCCGATTTCTCAAATTCCTTGACAAGTGATCACATGGCGTTGGTTATTCTCACAAGCCTACATGTCATAAGACGGAGAAGAAGTTACAGTTTTAGAACATTTGGCTGAAGGAGGAGGAATGTAGAACTATAGTACTCCCTCCGTTCCTAAATAAACTTCCAACTTTCCTTTTTCGTCTATTCCAATTAAAACTTCCACTTTCCCTTTTTAGTAAACAATTTGTGGTTCACAACATTTCTTACACATTTCTCTCTCCTCTGCACAACTCTACACCACTCAATACCCACTATCTTAAACTCTGTGCCAAACCTATTTGGAAGTTTTAATAGGAACGGAGGTAGTAATTAATAGCTGGAGGGCGGGAGATCAGATGACAGTGGGAGACCGGCTTCTGTTCTGTGGGAAGGAATTAGCTAAATGGGACGGCAGCAAAACCAAAGGTTTTCGGCACCAAATACAGGCTTGCAAAAAACGTTTGGCTTGGCTAAAATGGAAGGAGGATTCGGCTAATGTGGCTGAATACATACGTAAGAGACTGGTCCTGAATTCGCTGTTGGAGAAGGAAAACCAATACTGGAGGCAAAGGGCCAAGGAATTTTGGCTGAGAGAGGGAGATGTTAATTCCCGTTTTTTCCATAATGCGGTTAAGGCACGCAGAAGAAGAAATAAATTACAGGGATTAAGGAGACCGGATGGAAGCTGGGCGTCGACAAGACAGGTGATTAGGGGATATGGTTTACAATTATTTTGCTGGTTTATTCACTGAGATGCCTCAGTCAGAGGAGGAGGAGATCTTTGGCCCATTGGGAACGGTGAGCACGGCGCAAAACGGCAGACTAATAAGGCAAATCACGGCGGAGGAAGTAAAAGAAGCCGCATTTAACATGCATCCGGAGAAGGCACCAGGTATGGATGGGATGAACCCGGCTTTCTTCCAAAAAAATTGGGATATTGTGGGGTCGGAGGTAGTAGAAATGTGCAAAGGTATTTTTGAAAGTGGGAAAATTCCTAGGGAATGGAATGTCACTAATATTGTTCTAATTCCAAATAAGGAGAGGCCTGAGAATATGGGGGACTGGAGACCGATTGCTTTGTGTAATGTAGTCTATAAAAAATTTTCTAAAGTCTTGGCAAACCGTTTGAAAGGTCTATTGGGAGATTTGATAGGAGAAAATCAGAGTGCTTTCATCCCAGGAAGATCGATAGTGGATAATATTGTGGTGGCGTTTGAGATTCAACACTACTTAAAGAGGAAACAAGGGGGTAAAGAGGGGTTTGTAGCACTCAAGCTAGACATGAGCAAAGCATATGATAGAGTGAGCTGGAGCTTTTTGGAGAGGATTATGGGGAGAATGTGTTTTGAAAACCGGTGGATTGGCTTAATAATGGAGTGTATTAGCACTGTCAGTTATCATGTCCAGTTTGAGAAGGGGACCCACTATCTCCATACTAGTGGCGGAAGGCCTAAGTTCTCTGCTGCGGAGGGCGGAAAACAAAGGCGATGTGCATGGGGTGGCAGTTTGTAGGGGGGCTCCAAAGGTATCACACTTATTATTCGCAGATGATAGTTTCTTATTTTTTAAAGCCAACCCAACTGAGTGTGATAGTGTAAAAAGAATGTTGAATTATTATGAAGGAATATCTGGGCAGGTGGTAAATTTTGCCAAATCTACAGTGTTTTTCAGTCCTAATACGTCTGAGCAGGTGAGGGATATGTGCAGACAGAAGTTGGGAGTTTTTGTGGAAGGAGAGAATGGGCAGTATTTGGGATTACCAGCTATGGTTGGGAGAAACAAAGGAGCTATTTTGAGTTATTTGAAGGACCGAATCCAGAGCCGAATTAAGAGTTGGAATAATCGCTTCCTTTCTAGGGTGGGTCGAGCGGTGTTACTGAAGAATGTGGTCCAGGCAATGCCATCTTATGCCATGAATGTATTTTTACTGCCCAAGGATTTATGTGATGAAATTGAAAAATTGATGAATGGGTTCTGGGGAAAAGGTTCAAAGCTGGATCAGAAAGGGATGAGGTGGAGAAGTTGGAAGAATTTGTGTAGACCAAAGGAGACGGGCGGACTGGGGTTCAGGCGGTTAAGGGAATTTAACCTTGCTATGCTAGCCAAACAAGGATGGCGTTTGATTAACGACGCGGACAGCCTTATGGGGAGAATTTTAAAGGCAAGGTATTATCCCAATTCTAATTTCCTTAATGCTAAATTGGGTAATAATCCTTCCTTTGTGTGGAGAAGTATATTTGAGACTCAAGACTTGTTGAAAAAGAATGTGAGGAGACGTGTTGGGAATGGCGTCGATGTACATGTGTGGGCAGATACGTGGCTACCGAGGAAGGATGATGGTAGGATATCTTCTCCTAAACCACAATGTGGGGTGAGAGACATAAATGTTGCTGCTTTGAGAGATGCCACCGGTAAGAAGTGGAATGTGGGGAGCATAAGGGCTTTATTTAATGAGGAAGACAAAAGAAGAATTTTGAGCATTCCCATCAGTGCAGGCAATAGAGTGGATGGGTATTGGTGGAAGAGCGAAAATAATGGGGTTTATTCGGTTAAAAGTTGCTACAGGATGCAGGTGGAAGAGCCGACGGGACCCGTGGATGGTGCTTGGTCACAGCTTTGGTCTGCCAAATTTCCCCCGAATTTAAATTTTTTATTTGGCGGGTTTTGGATGGGTCGATCCCTACGGTGGATAAGCTGCGCCAGGGGGGTATAATTATACAGAACGGATGTACATTATGTGACAATCCGGCGGAATCCCTGGAGCATGCTTTTCGGAGTTGCAATTGGACTCGACTGGTGTGGCAAGAAGCTGGCATAAATACCGAGGAAGACAGGCCGGTGGAGGATTGGCTGAGGAGGGGCATCGAAATAGGAGTCGAGGAGAAAGAAAAGTTCATGGCAATTCTCTGGAGTCTATGGAAAAGGAGGAACAATGCGGTATGGAAGGATGAAAAACAGGACGCTACTAGCATTATCAACAGTGCCACAGGAATGCTAGCAATCTGGAAGGAAGCCCAGGAGCAGGGGGGATCGAATGGGGTTCAACAAAAAAAGGAGAAGGAAAAATGGAGGAGACCGGGGAAAGATTATATAAAAATTAATGTTGATGGTGCGGTTAATGAGACAGGGGATATAAGAGCATGGGGCTGGGTGGCAAGGGATGAGGAGGAGAATTTTCTGAAAGCTAAAGGAGGGTCAGTAGCGGCTAAATGCACAGTGACTGAAACAGAAGCGTTTGGGCTGCAAGAGGCTATTCGAGGAGCTGTCCAGGAAGGATGGGACCATGTTGAGTTCGAGTCAGATGCGTTGACGGTGGTCAAGAATATAAAATCGGGGGGAGGATGCTCGTACTTACAAATTATTATAGAGGATATTAGAGAAGTGTTAAAAACTAAGAGTAATTTTTCTCTCTTATTGTAATAGATCTTCGAACAGTGTGGCTCATGCAATTGCAAGATCACACGTAAATCTCCTAGATCAGAAGAGTAATTTTGAGGTGGCGCCAGTTTGTATTGTTAGCCTTTTGGCTATGGATTGTTTGGAGTAATAAGAATGTTTGGAGTTTGATGACCAAAAAAAAACTATAATCTAATACTCCCTCCGTCCCTTAAAACTTTGCCATCTTTTCTTTTTGGGACGTCCCAAAAAACTTTGCCACTTTCCCTTTTAATCAATTATTTTGTGGTTTCTGTTATTTCTCTCTCCTCTGCACAAACTTCAACCACACAGTTTTTACTTTATTATTCTCCGTGTCGGTCAACTTTCGCAAAGTTTTAAGGGACGGAGGTAGTAATATTCAAAAAGAAAAGAGAAAACTCTCAAATAGACTCTCCTACTTTGGCCAATTTCTCAATTAAGTTCTCGCACTTTATAATCACCCATTGGAGCCCCCGAACTAACCAAATCCACCCAATCAGGCTTTTTAGCCGGTGGAGTGTCGGTTAGCCCGTTTCACACTGACCTGGAATCCCTCGTGTCCCTCACTCATCGGGCACTTAAGTTGACGTGGCTACTCCCTTTTAAAACTAATTACTCTAGGTAGTTAAGAACTTTCTCCTCAAACTTAATTTCTCCTCCCCTACGAGTGGCTTATTCTAGGTCTACGATCCTTCGCAACTATGTTGTCTTCATCATCAACAACGGTTGTCAAAGAACGAAACCGTACAATGGACTATGAGCCTGCTGTTTACTGTTGGTGCGGATTGAAAGCTCCTCTATGTGTTGGACGAGAGAGTGGGAGAAGTTTTTATGGCTGTCAAAAATGGAAGGTTAGTGGTTTAGAATTACAGTGGGTTGCCTTGTTAATTGATTGCATACGTTAAATGTGTATAGGTTGGTAGTTGCGGTTTTTTCATGTGGAAGGAAGATGTAGGGAGAAAAGAATTTGTCAGCACTGAAGAGAAGAAAGAACTCGTTATGGGTAAAGATAAGAGTGAAATCGATGATGAATTCAAAAAAATGGTTGAAGTACTTGTCCTACAGATGTCACATTTACAGAGTGATGTTGCTTGTGTCAAAAGTGTTGTTGACAATGAGGCGAAGATTAACAAAAAGAGTAGGAAGTTGTATGGATTAGCTATGATTGTACTTCTTGGTTTAGTGGGGAGTGTGTATTTGAGGATGTAAGCTTGGTGTGCAATGTCAGAATACTTATGTGTTGGTCATGTGTAATGTATTTCAGTTTAATAGTTATGTAATTGTGTTGTGATGGCAGAAAACTTATGTGTCGGATATGTGTATTGTATTTCAGTTTGGTAATTATGTAATTGCTATGTAATGGCACAATGTTGGTTGAATAGAAGTATTGTTATGGCACAATGTTGTT